CAATTCATGTATATGTTATTTTGGTTAAAGAAAAATGAAATAATGTTATATATTTTCATAAAGTCATAGTTTAGAACATGTTTTATGATTTTAAGTTCAAGTAAATAACTAAAAATCTTTGCGTAGCCCCTACTTAATGTGTGTACATATAAAGATTTATATGTTTTGTATATATGTTTTATCCTGTTTTTATATCCTTCAGCAAGTTAAAGGTAACAATTCTAAGTAAAAAAAAATGTCTTTTTATTATAATTGGTAAAATATAATTTACTGTCAAAATTAGTAAGTTTTTTTTTTAGTTGATGGTACATTTTTCTGAAAAAAAACATAACATTATGTTCTACTAATCATTATGTTCATTAATAATTAATTAATAATCAATAGTCATTATGTTTTTCATTATGTTATAAAGAATTGCATATAATGTTTTTTTCTATTCTAAAATCTATAAATAAAAGAATGTGTGCCACCATTTCTATCGACCTGTGGACAAACAAATGATGCATCAATCATATCCGACTGTAATTGAAATTAAATAGTAGATAGGTGCATTATGCCCCCAGTGATTGAAATGTTGCCGAGTCGATGCTTCTGCGAGTGATCTGTTTATTTATTTAATTTAATCAGGAAACTATTTGTAACCAAATTAAATAGTTTCATATGGTTAAATGCGCTATTTCATGGAATAACCGTGGTTTATCGCCATTTCAGTGAACAAGTAAATAAATATAGTACATACAAATCACTGTATATTACCAATGCAATAATTAAGTAACCCATAACATAAAAAATTTGTAAACAACAGTCTTAAAAATCTTTTAATATGTTGCCGAGAATGAGTTCGGAAATAGACAACTGTAACATACGCCCCAAAGCTACACTGGTCGTCAAGAAACACCCACAAAGCCGGGAAACAAAAACATTAAGAAATTTATCGAAAACAGAGAGTTCCCTTAGCGCATTGTTGAGCAAAGTTAAGGATAAGACACGACGATGTTTCAAACATTGTATTCTTAATGCGCGTTCGATAGTGTCTGATATAATTCTAACAGAAAACCCCTAGAAGCGATCGCACCGACGATTGTACGAAAGATAAATGATCTCACACGCAAAGCATCTGACTCAAAGAGCGTCAATTCTCTAAACATACATGTACTTGTTTTGTATATTTTCACCGAAAACAAGTACAAGGGGCCGTTAGTTAGAGTTTATTTTACTTTAGTGTCCGTAATAAAAACGGGTTAACCATTACATAGAAATGTCAAGGTACGTTATGTTATTCGTTAAAACAAGTTAGTGTTCTGTTTACAGCACTTAAACTAAATTTAGATAATAACTTAGGATAATGATCAACAGCTTTCGCTTTTGTTATATACTTAAAATTGGAAAACTAGTCTCTTGCTAGATTATTTACTGTTATAATTTTTACTTCCTGATAGTTGCTTAGACCATTGTCAGTCCCGGGACCGTCTCAGTCAAGTACACTGGTGGATGTGCAAGAATATGATTGGGTTTGTATAATTTTCCAAGGTTTAGATCATAGTCTAGTGTGTCTTAGGCAAGAAATGGGTCCACAAAATATTAATTCTCCGTCACTAAAGAAGGCGTCTACCCTTGTATCAGAAAATTGTAGAGGTAGGATAAACTAGAGTAATTAGACCTAATTTTAATTAGAACTTTAGTTTTAAAGATATCTGATCTATTTAACACAATGAATCATTCATTTTATATACTTTTGAATTCCTATAAAATGTATTCCACATTTATTCCTTATATGTATATATATTATGCAAAAGTTTAAACTTCGGACTTGAAGACACGATTCTTTATTCTACAGCATGCAAGGGTTTGCAAACAAAAGCATGGAAGTTATAAAATATAATAACTCAATTGTTTTATTTTAAAAAAGTATAATGGTTATAAACAGAAATAATTTTACAATTCCCACTTTAGATTATGTCATTATCATATTGTATGTGAATGTTACAAGTACAAGATGTAATTTTTAAATTGTACATAAATGTACTCACGACTAATATATCAGTAATAAAAAGTGTACCCTCTAATTGTAAAAGATTTTTTTGTATAATAGTTGTTAAAAGTTAAGGAATTCTCATATGTAAAAAAAAATGCAAGGAAAAACATTGGCGTACAACAATAAAGTAACGACGGACCATTAGATAGACAGGGTCCTCATATTATTAGGTTCACCATTTGAAACATGCGAAATACAAATTTTACAGAAATTGTAAGTTCTATTGAGGAAATAATCTCCAGAGATATCGAAGATATATAATATCTCTTACTAACAACATTTATTTTACATAAAAGTCAGTATTACTTGGTTTTGGACATGTATGATTTAACTATCAAATTTTTTTTTATGTTGCGTTTCTTATTTTTCATATTATCTGATTTTACGATTATCGTAAAAAAAACTCTATAAATTCAAAACCATATTATTCCATTTGAAACATCTAATTTATAGTAAAAAACGCAGATTAGTAAAAAAGAGTTCTAAAAGTGCATGCATTAACCCATTCCACGTTTCCTGCAAGTAAAAGCCGTGTTTATACAGATTTTCATAGTATTTTATAAACCAAAAGAATCTTTGTATAAAAAATGTAGGGGGAAAATTGTATTTAAAAAATGTAATTAAACTTTAAGATTTGATTTATTAAATAGAGTATTAGGAAAGTAAAATATTATTTATATAAGGTTTGATGTGGATTTGAATAGACACTTGATTTTCCTTTTCACCAAACTCAATTCGTTCATAGTCTGATACAGTTAAAAACTTTCAAACAGAGCAATATAGCTCAGTAGCAATTTAAAAAAATAAATATAATAATATTGCCATGAAATCATTATATACAGGAAGTCGATAAAATCCATTCAAACATCAAGAAGGATTTATTTGTTTAAATTAAATTAATTAAAAATGCCACTTGCGTAGATACAAGAAAAAAGTGGATCAGGTTAACTGGAAGAAAAGACCATGTGGCCCTCATGTTCGTATCAATAAAGAAGTATTTTCATCCAATACTAACGTCGAGGCAAGGTTTACAAACAAAACGAAAAGGCAAAAAAGAGAAATACTAGTGATACAACTAAACCATTACCTACCAGTTGAGGCTACCTCGATGCCACAATCTCACTAAAAGTTATAGAAGAAAATGCCTTTGGACAAGATATCAAGACATCAAATTATAATGTATCACTAATTGTTTACAATTGTTATTTAATTAATAATAATTGATTTATAACGGTTTTATTCCAAACATACAAAAATTTTGTTTTGTGGAAAAATTGAGTGAAATCAGTATCATTACACTGAATAAAACTGTTAAAATAAAGCTGTTAAAACATCTTTGGAGATTATTTCCTTATTTTATATTTTCTTTGTTGATTAAGTGGGTGCCAACAATCGATGCAGATTATAACAATTAACTTTTGTTAGTCTTATAAACATGCAACAATGAATTGTGAGACAAAATTTTCTGTCTGGGTTTTGAATTTTTTTAATCGTCTTATTTAAAGCATTTTAATATTTTTGAAGCTTAAGTTTTGTAAGTTTATTACGCTAAGTGTCAAAATTATAATAATTGCAGAAAGAACCCTCTGGTTATCATGCCTCAATATTTCAATATGTATATCTTTGGTCTAATAGAGTGATCTTGCGAATATCTTCTTTCTTATAAGTCTTTTCATATTTTACGTTAGAGTTACATTCGTAAAAGTGGAATCAAAGTCAAAATGTATTGTTTTAATAGCCAAGACGATTTTATCCCATGATAATAACAACGTGTGAAAAAATTGTATTTTCAAAGGACTATGGTGTAACAGTTTTCACCATTATTGCATTTAAATCATTTTATTCAAATCTAAAAATTTACCATGGTTTCACTGAAATAAAATAAATTATAGTTCGGATATCATGAATTTAATGCACCTGTACAGTGATACTATTTTAATCGAAAATTCCCTGTAACTGATTCTAGAATTAGTGTAAAATAAAACAGCCATTTGAAAACGATTTTTTTGTAACTGTACAAAGTACACAAGGATTGAACAGTTAAAGTCTGCACAACTTCCTCAATAAATAGCAATACACAAACACATACTAAATAGATCGAACACCCTAACTCTTCAAAATTCATAAACACTTTCAAATAAATTCATTGGAGGAAAACATATCTGTAAAAGGATTTGGGATCGTTTTTTGATATCGATAAACTATAAATAATTTCTATGATAGGAAATGAAGGCCGTCTTTTGAAATCAAACGAGAAATCGGCATATGCTCTTAAAGTTGAAATTCATCTTTAAATCCCTAACCCTAAAAAGGATAAGTAATAGTTTTAAACTTTCAATAGTTAAGAGTCCAACCAATAAACAAAGAAATCGAATTGTACAAGACAGAGTTATTTAGGGAGATATAAAAAATAAGATGTGCAATAATATTTTTATTAGTTTTAGGTCTATGTATGTTTAATTTTAAATGAATGCATTTGTTTGTAACGGTCAGTATGTATAGAGTCAGCTGTACAGATTTCAAGGTAAATCTGTAAAATACTCTTAAAATTGAAATCAGAATTCAAATCTCTAGATACTACGTTTTATGTTTGAAGTCAGAACATAAAACAGAAAATTTTAACCTTTAAAAAAAATTGCATTGTGAAACTCGAAAAACTTAATTTTAAAAAATCTAATCTTTTCTAAGAATGGAAACCAAACGGAGGAAAATAATTTGTAACGATTATGTAAGGGTAATTTTCATCAAACTAGCGAAAAAGATACTGTTCCTTAAGTACGAGTCGATATATTATTAAGTTTTTTTTTTCATCCAGATAAACAAAATAAAAATCAAACGCGTTTTCAAGTAGTTTCCAAATAATATACGCCTTCGACCGTTCTTGTATGTATGAAACGTAGAACAACAGTTGACATTAATCTCGTCCTGTAGTACAATCGTCATCTTCTCTCCACCTTGTACGTACCGTCAGGGTTGGCGGCGGCGGAGACGGCGGCGGCCAGCAGGCAGATACAGGAGGCGGCAAACATGACGACTGAGTGCCGTCCCCGAGGTAGCGGCTTATAATGCCTCCCCACCTGCCGTACCCGCCTCCCCCACACAACACAGATATAACTAACGATTTAACCAAATTTCCTTACAAAAGATTTGGATTCGGAACATTATTAATGTGATAGATGGCAGCATTATTTCTACCTAAAAATGGAAAAATCAAATAATTTCAAGCCAAGTCATTTAAGGAAAACCATTTAAACAGGTTGGACTTTTAATATTGCTACACACTGAAATTGACATGCAAAATTTGAGTTATTAGGAAATAAAGTTAAATAAGTTTTCTTCCCGAAATGTTATTTTCATGTGGCTTGTATATTATTTCTTAAGGATACCACGTTTCTAAACGCACAAAAAAGTAGAAAACAATTTATAAATATGTGGAGAGAATAAATACTTGTAAGATTTAAAACGAAAAACGTAGGACGCATGATATAGCTAATTTATGATTATCTTAATCTTTTGAATTCTTATTATCTATTGCATGCGTCCCACGATTTTAGTTTAAATCTTACAAGTATTTATTCTCTCCACATATTTATAAATTATTTTATACTTTATAGTGTTAAATGTGTAAATATGTAAAAAATAAATTGTATAGCTTATACGTACATAACCAAACCTTTTTTAATGTAAACACATATTTTGCTACTATTATCATAATCATAAAACAAACAAATCTCTCGGGAGCAAAACCTGTACCTCTTAATCTCTGCTCTTTGAACAAATTGTCAAATTAAAGTACTTTACAGCTTACTTTATAATTCAAATATTTACTACATTCTTCCAAAAAGTAAACATTATTATTTGGACGCCGATGGGGCGTAGCCCAAGAGTAATATAAAAATAAAATGATTAAATATCGCATTGACATCCATTTGTGAGCTATGTTTCAAGATTCAAGTCTCTAAATCGTCGGGAGGTTGGTTTAAAATCGATCGCGAGCTAATAAACACGTTATAAAATGGCCAAAATCTTAAAAATTTTCAAATTTCTTTACACCTAATTTTTACTGGTTTATTCCTGAATACTTAAAACCACATTTCGCAGTTTTTATCAACTTTAAATGGCGTAACATAAATATTATACCTTGCTATGCAGAAAAACAAAATTCGCGGTTTTCGCATTCACCGCACAAAATGGTAGTTTTAAAAAATACTAGTGTACCTGTTGATTGAATTCGAGCAATTGCTAAGTCTTACAGGAGGTTTTTTTTTTTTATAGACGAATAACAGTCACAATTTCTGATGACTTTAAAAGGTTCGACTCAAAGATTATGGAAATACTCAATATATACATAACAGATCGATGTGATCAACATTTTTTTGTAAATATCTAATCATTTTTCTAAAGCAGATCTTGTTTTTTAATGTTTTCTACAAATTAATAACATTATTCATAGCTGCATTAGAATGTCCATAATAACGATTATAAATTCTAAAAAAAGAAAAATTGCATTATTTCTATTTCTACTCCTTGGTGGTGTTCTATTAATTTCCGATGCTTCCATTGTTTGCAAATCAACTCTTTCAATAATTACTAAAAACTGCAGCACAGTGTTAATTCAGTTTTCTTTTTAGTATATAAATTCATCCAGGCTCTCTCGCTTTTTTCCATTGTTATGTTTACGCTGACCCAAATTCAAATAGTAAATATTTCATTTTAACCAAGTTAATAATGTTTGTAGCAAACTTATTTACTGTTTACAATTGACATATGTTTTTCTTCTCACTTTAAATTTCTAACAATAGCTGGAGTTTCAAACAATGTTTGTTTCCCATGTTACTTTTATGGAGGAACACGAAAATTTAAAAGGGTCCCAGGGCCTCACTCTCTAATTATTTCCCTAAAAAGAAAATTCCCTACACAACTTACGCTCTTTCCAATAACACCAAAAACATGTCAATCGGTTCAGTAGTTTTGGAGGAGTAATTGTCACAAAAAAACCTGCTAGCGTATTAAATAGGTATAGATAGATTTTCACCCTTTTTATAGTATTTATAACAACTACACACTACTAGTACACTCTAAATAAAAAATGTCCCATCAGGCAAAAACAAAACAAACAAAAATTAAAAAATACAAAACATATAGGGAATTTTTTTTATCAGCTGAGTATTGATGTTTTCCTTGCGAAACTTACAGGGTTATGTATCAATTACAAACATTGAGTGTTTATGTCTCCAAAAAGTGAGTTTTTATTTAAGAATTGATCTTTAATTATTATTATTTTTTTTTTATGGGGAGAAAGAAAAAGAGTGTGATAAGTATGAGTATTAGGAACAAGAAAGTGGTAAGTTGCAGATGGAATAGGTATGAATTACAAAGCAAAACACAGTCTGTTGGAAGCAATGTTAGTATTAGGTCTTGCTTAAAGACAATCTTATTTCTGAAGAAAACATTGAAATAGATGTGGACCCAAGTGATTGTCTAGATCCTGATGAACTTAAGAATACTCCAACAGGGTTTGCACTACACAAGTCGTATAGGCCTAATGATTTTATTGAAGCCGTTGAGACCGCTTCCACATATGCAATTATTGATGAAGATATATTAAAATCGTTCATAACTCATTTTCCATGTCCAAGCTGGCTTCAAAGGTCTGTTTGTGTAGAAAATTTAACAACTCTGGGCTATGCCTCATCCTTGATGGTTCAGTGCATCGATTGTGGAGAAGAGTACCCTGTGAGTTTGTCGCGTCTCGTCAGTGGCTAAGCATCGGGTAAAACTCCTTTTGATGTAAACAGAAGGGTTGTTCAGGCATTATCTAGTATGGGAAAGACCACAGAGGCGTAGAAATTTCAGCATGAACTTAAATATGAAGCCTATGACAATCAATGCGTACCAGTACCACAGAAAAAAAATTGCTGGAACACGAAATAAAAACGTGGAAACTTCGCTCACTCAAGCAGGGGCTCAAGTTCGAAAGTATTATGCTGAACTGGATGAAGTTCTACCTGCTAAGCCTATGGAGGTATGTGTTAGCTTCGATGGAAGCTGGCAAAAAAGAGGATTTACCTCTAAATATGGAGTAAGATGTTGTATACAGGCAATTACTGGCTTCGTTATTGACTTTCACGTGATGTCAAAATACTGCAGACTTTGTGAGAACTAAAAAGAGAACTAAATGTTGAAGAGTTTGAAGCATGCGAAATCCAACACAATACAAACCTATGTGTCGGAGAAACTACGAAGGATATTCGCCAGCTATGGAAAAGGCAACAGCAGAGGAATTTTAGAAAAGATCGGAAGATTTTGACCTGCAGTATACGAAAATGGTATCCGATAACGATAGTCTTACGTGAATGTGTCATATATGGAAATATACCTTGGTAAATAAATAGAAAAAATTAAGTTACTGAACAATTATTATGCAAAGAGACTAGTCACTGGTTTGATAACTATTGTACGGAACAACCACGGCAAAGGCGAACCACTGGGTGGAAAAGCTTATGGCAGTCAAAGGAAACCACGATAAATGAACTAACAAACTATAACAGAAAAGCTGTTCAGAACAATCTAAACTGTGTTGTTAAAATGAGAAAGGCTATTTTTGCAACGATTTACCATTGTGTCTCTACTCTGCCCTACTAGGAAAAAAGGCCTTAAGTCCAAAAAATTTAAAAATTGAGTTAAGGTCAAAACTTAAAGTTAAAAACTGATGTGAAACTAAGCACAGCTTACGCCCCGAAGGAGCAGAATAGTGGTGTTTTACCAACTAATAAACAAATCCCAGAAAAGCACGTTGAAAAGGTAAAAACACCATTGAGCCAAAAAGTATTGAATGCAATACCTCTGTACTATGTAAAGCTGTTCCTTTAGTAAGGTTGACATCAGACAATCTGCTGAATAGGTGTGTGTTGCTAGAAAAACCCAGAATGCTAATGAAGCTCTCCATGGTGTCATTTGGTCCAAGTGCGTTAAGACTACCTTTGTTTCAATAGACACACTTGAACCAGCAGTAAGTACTGCAGTTTCTGAGTTAAACTGTGGTAGACTGAAAACCATCCTAGAAATCCAAAAGCTGCTGGAACAAGTCATGGTAAAAATACTACGAGTATAGCCAAAAATATTGATCAGAAGAAGCACAAATTGGCTGAAAAAAGAAAATCTAGCAAATATCCTAAAGAATAACGTAAAAATATGTTTAAAATTTTTACGATACAGGGTGTGCCAAACACTTAGGGTCACTAGTTCAAATCTCGGAATTTTCAAAAGTAAACATATGTCATTGTTAAAACCGTTTTAAAGGTATTTAATAGACACAAATTTTTGCGAAAACAGAAATTAATTATCTTTTTCTGTTTCAAAACGGCGGAAGTTTATTGGGAAAAATCAAATTTTTTTATACTCTGTGTTTCCTATACCAATGCACTTAGCCCTTCTCCGGTTAAATTTTCTTACTCGTTATAAAATTACCTTTAGGCTACTGTGATATGCTACAAGTAATGTTTTTTTTATTGTAAAAATAACAATAAAATGATTTTTGAAAATTAGCAAATGCCCATTTCTCAAAATTTTCATATGTCAAGTGACACATCATTTTATATATTTTTTTTATTTTTTTTTATTCTTAAACTTTGTAATTTACACTTACTTCGTATCTGTTTGAGTTTTTGTGTAAATATCAAAAAAACCTCATTTTCCTATATCGAATGGATGTTATTTGGGTTTAACCCTAAATTAAATGGGGCCTTTAGTGTTAAAATTAAATTTTCAGGATAATTCAAGTTTTGTCAAGATTCACATAAGACATTCGTTTGCACTTAAATTCATTCAACTTATATAGATATATTTTACTTGTACACCAGGCTAAAAATAAATATTATTGAACTATTCAGAAGTATTATACTCTGTGCTAAAATTTAAAGATTTTATTTTAAATAAAAATTGATATCGTCTTACATTAATCTTTGATGGGATGTGATTGAATGTCACCTAATTCCATAGTTATTTAATAAATAATAATTAATAATTA